CCAGAGCCAGAGTTACCTGAAGAAATAAAATTAAAACCTATTCCCATAAAAAAACCTTTAGATGATAATAAAATTAATGATGATAAAATAGAAAAACCTAAGCCTTTAACTAATGATTCACCTAAAATTGACATAAAGTCGAAATCGAAAAAGTCACCCTTACCGAAAACTGTAAGCGTGGATAGCCCTTTGCGAGATCTTGAAATAGTTAGTATAAAAAGAAGTGAGGAAATTCCTGAACATAAAGCGGCTGAAAGTGAAATTGTAGCACCTTATTTCATTGAAAAAGTGCAACCATTAGTAGCAGAACATGAAAAGCCTACTGCTTTTACATGCTCTGTGGGGGGAGTCCCTTCACCTGAAGTCAAATGGTACCGGGATGATCGTGAACTACAAACAACCGATGTTTACGAAATAATTGTTTACGAGAACACATCTACATTGAGGATTTCTAAGCCTACAGAGGAACAGGCTGGTGTTTATGTTTGCCAAGCTACAAATTCAGCTGGCATTTCAACTTGTACTGCACTTCTAGTGGTGTTAGGTAGAATTAGAGTGTCAGTGATGTCCTCGAGTGATTTAACATTTTTGTGTGATGTTGTTTATTTAAATATTGTACATAATGTAATCTATTTATAAAATACATTAAAAATAAGCGCTAATAATTTTAATCATTTGCCATATCATTGTTTGTTAAGCTTATGAAATTAATAGGTTATTAGATAAGATTTTTTATTTTGAATTTATTTTCTCTTACACTTTTTTAATTATTTTAGATTCTGAAGAAGTTGGCGAAGCTCCAACTTTTGTGGAACCTATTAAACCTAGAAAAGTCCGAGGGAAAAAATCTATTGAACTAAGGTGTATTGTGAAAGGAATTCCTATACCTGAAATAATTTGGTGTCGTGAAAATGAAGAAATAATTTCGGATGAAAACGAGTACACAACTTCGTTTGATTCGAAAACTGGTGAAGCCACTTTAACATTAATAAACCCTATGGATGTTGATCGATCAACATATTTAGCTAAAGCAGTGAATATTCACGGGAAATCTGAATGCATGGCACATATTACATTTGGTAATATATTATAAATAATTTCGATTTAAAATAAATAATTAAATTCTTAAATTTTAGAAAAAGAGGAATATGGAGAAGCGCCTAAGTTTGTAGAACGGTTGAAGCCGAAAGTTGTGAAAGCCAATGAAACAACTGAACTTACGTGCTTAGTCAAAGGTATTCCATCACCATCAGTTGTATGGTGCCGCGATGACGAAGAAATTATACCAGATGAAAGTCATTCGCTAATTTACATTCCTGAAACTGGAGAATCTAAACTTATAATACTGCATCCTGATGATATTGATGAGTCAACGTACACAGTTAATGCGACGAATAAATTTGGAAGGGCTGAGTGTAGAGCGAATTTAATAGTTCGTGAGTAATGTTGTATATGATATTATATAAACGCAATTGCTCATTTTTTAAATTTACATAGAAAAAGATGAACTCGGAGAGGCACCGACATTCGTACAACCAGTAAAACCGATAATCGCCAAATCAAATGAAATTACTGAACTTAAATGTACCGTAAGAGGAACACCAAACCCGTTAGTAATTTGGTGTCGTGGAAACGAAGAAATCATTCCCGATGAAAGTCATTTAGTCACATACCATCAGGAAACCGGAGAATCGATTTTAACAATTTTAAACCCGTCCGAAATTGATGAAACTATTTATACCGTGAACGCTGTGAATAAATACGGCCAAGCACAATGTCGTGCAAATTTAATTATTCGTAAGTAAATTTTAAAAAATGTTATAAATTCTGTTGATTATTTACGTTTTCCTTTGATTAGAAAAAGACGAATCGGGCGAAGCACCCATGTTCGTAGAACCAATAAAACCAAAAATCGCCAAAGCTAATACGTCCACCGAATTAAATTGTTTGGTCAGAGGAATACCTACACCAACGGTTGTTTGGTTTAGAGGTGAAGTAGAAATAATTCCAGATAACACTCATTCAATAACGTTCATACCAGAGACGGGTGAATCAAAACTTATTATTTCAAAGGCGACTGAAGTTGATCAAAACACGTACACTGTAAAGGCAACTAACAAGTATGGCAGAGCTCAATGTCGGGCAAATGTAATTATACGTAAGTAATATTATAAAATAAATGTATTGACTATAAAATGTATATTAATGATCTTAATATGTAAAAAATAAATTATAAATTCAATATTTACAGAAGAAGACGTTTTCGGTGTAGCACCAACCTTTGTTGAGCCCATAAAGCCCGTATTAGCAAAACCAGACCAAACAACCGTTTTACGATGTTTGGTGACTGGTAATCCCGTGCCAACTTTGGTTTGGTGTCGTGGAAAAGACGAAATTGTTCCTGATGATTTGCATACAATTCAGTTTATTCCAGAAACTGGAGAATCCACTTTGACCATAGAAAAACCAACAACAATTGACGAAGCGCATTATTCTGTTGAAGCAATTAACAAATTTGGAAGAGCTAGATGCAGAGCTAATTTAGTTTTAGGTGAGTCAAATATTACAATTATTTTAATAAGTTATTAACGCGTAATATTAATAATAATAGTATAATAAATCTATACTTTTTGTTATCTAAAATTCTATATGATTACATATCATAATTTATAATATATAATATAATGTTTTTATTAGTGTCGTTTTTAAATATTAGTAATCAGTAATTAAAAATGATAATTATAAATTAGTTAATCTCCTTAGGTCTTAAAAATAAATACTATAAATAAATACCAATACTATATTATACTTTATTATTAATAGAGTTAGGATGTGTATTGCCTTAATTATTTAACTCTTAAATAATCTTAGGTTTGCAATATAATATATGACTAAAAAAAAAATTTATGAAAATTATAAAATATGTTCTATTCCTACTTATATTACTATATATTATTTGTTATACTACATTTAAGATTTTTACTTGAAAAGAACAACTAAGAATTATTTATATATAAATATTATATGATATACATTTAACATAATATTATCATATCATAACAATTTTAATGCGACCATACATGAAGACTTATGTATAATATTGTCATATTTAATACATACTACATAGTATAATAATATAGTATTTATATAGTATGGTATGTGTTAATGCTTAATATTATATCATGCCGTTTGTTTAAATATTCAAAACTTATATTTAGTGTCATAACTTAATAATTTTTTTTAGCTTTATATCCTCCACTCGTAATCAGAAAAAAATTTAATGATATTGAATTTACAGAAAAATATGACACCGGAATTGCTCCTGCATTCGTTGTCCCGATTAAACCTAAAGCTGCCAAGCCAACCGAAACTGTAGAACTAAGTTGCGTGGTTTCCGGAACACCAACGCCAATTGTCGTATGGTGTCGCGGCGATGAACAAATCGTGCCAGATGACAGTCATGTCATATCTTACATACCGGAGACTGGCGAGTCCAAACTTACGATCTGTAACGCTACGGAATTAGACGTAAATGATTACACAGTAAAAGCAGTTAACGATTTTGGTGTGGCCCAGTGCAGAGCCAATTTGATTATAGGTAAAAGTTTATTTTTATTTTATCAAAGTTATACACAATTTATACAGTTGTGTACAATAACTTAATTTGAAAAGTGACAATAAATAATAAATTGAATAATTAGTCTCAAAATTAGGGAGGTTAATTAATGAAACCAGTAAAATGATAATTTAATAAATAATAATTAATTTTATGATTGGGGAAGTGTTACCCCGTACTCCGTAGTAGCATATAACTTTAAATTTGAAACATTCCGAATAAAATAATTATTTTCTATACGTATTTAAGTTTCAAATATTTAGATTATTTTGAGTAAAAGTTTTTTTTTTTTTTAATAATTGATTTTGTATAGTTCTTTTAGATATTTTTTTCAAGAAATATTTTTAAAAATATATTTCTTTGTCAAAATGCTCGAAATTGAATTTAAGTTACATCGTAAACGTTTGACTAAAACTAACCTATTTTTAATATGATATATTTTATTTTACGTAGACGAAGTCGTTGAAGAAATACCTAAACCGTTGGAGGAGGAAGCACCAAGCATAACGAAACCTTTGCAACCAATCATAGCAAAAAAAGATTCGTGCGTAACGTTAGACGTACATTTCAGAGGAACTCCCGAGTTAAAAGTTCGGTGGTTACACAATGGTAAAGACATCACCGATAAAAAAACGTTTATGCGTACCTTAACTATAACTGAGACCACAACCGTAATAATCATAAAGAAAATCACTAAAAAGACCAGTGGGCGTTATGAAGTCGTGGTCACTAATAATCGTGGGGAAGCGAAGACGTCAACTACAGTATTGATTGAAGGTAAAATATTTGAATAATGTTATTTATGGGAATGGATTTATAAAAATAACAAAAATATGTGCATAAATATAGAAGTTTAATTTATAAAATATATGCTAAATACATCAAAATATGTATATGGAAAAAATTTGGCTGGATAAATGGATGTTTTTGTTTACTGCAACATGGCGTTAAAAGTATGAATGATTAAATAATAAAATATGTTTAAAAATATTTACACATTAGTGAAATATGTAAGAATATGTAATTATACCAAAATATGTGAAAATGTGTAAAATACAATTTGCATCATTTTAATAAGAATGATTTAAGTCGTTAACATTTATTATTAAATTTAAAATGCCTTGTTTTAATGAAAATAATCATTTTCATACAAATTCGTTCCCTAGTTATTAATAACAGCATTAATGTAACAAACCTATATGTTATATAAAATATATTTTTCAAATGTTGTGTTCTCTGTAGATGAAGAAGATGTAGAGGAGACGATCGAAAAAGAAGTTGCTACTACCGGAAAAGCGCCATACTTCGAAACGGAGCTACAAACCGAAACAGTTTGGGAAGAGGAGGAGGAAGAGGAAGAAGAAGAAAAGATAACCACAATATGCCTTATTGTGAAAGTAAAAGGTACTCCCAAGCCCAAGACTCGTTGGTACGAGAGTGGTATAGAAATAACGCCCAACGAAGAATTCAAAATTGAAGAACACGATGAAGGAGTATCTGTTTTAACGATCAAGAAAAGGCCAACAGAGAGCGCACGAGAAATTACGTGCGAAGCTACAAACGAGCACGGAACAGTTACAACCAGAACTCTAGTAATTCCAGGTAATAACTCCGGCTATTCCAAAACACGCGGTTTACGATTAAGCATGTTCTTCGGACATGTGTGTACTCAAAACTATATAGTTTGTTTTGTTTTTCAGTTTCGACCGACGTTATCTTCGCCATCTTTCCTATTGATTCATATTTTGTTGATTATTATCTTGCACACTCACACATTCATAAACATTAAACTTACACATATAAATATAAACACCCTTCATAAAAGACGCTATCAAAATGCTGTTAAAAAAAAAAATAATTACTAAATAATGTGGTATTCGTGTTGTTTAGGTATCAAAGGGACGAAAGCCTATAGGAAGCCATCGTGGGTGACCCAGATGGAAGAGTTGCGGGAACAATTGCAAGGTAAATGCATCGCTGATAGTTTAAACGCTTGTTGTGTGTACAGTCCCGAAACCCGGCCGGATGAAAACGACGGGGACGATACGGTCCTCCGATACGGTACGTACTTTGCCGATTATGACGTCAACAGCGCGTTCTACCTGAGCCCCATACAAGAGCGTAGTGAACCCAATTCTTCTGACGGCGGCTCGGATCGAGTTCGGTCCTTGTCCTGCCAGGAGGTGTCGTCCTCTTCGGCGGCAGAGACCGAAGATCCAACCGGCCGCAGCCAGACTTACCCAAGGACGCATGCTGACGAATCGGTGGCTGCGTATAACCGCCGCAAGTATGTTGGCCATCCGCTGGAGCCCCGCGAAATAGACCCGGAAATGTTCTTCCAGCTGCATACGGCTGACAGCCAAGACGAGCTCCAAGAGTTTCTGTTACTGGAGAGCCAATGCATGTCCACTGACGGCGGGCTTCACGCGGCATTCGTCGATGAAAAACCGAGAAAATAACTAACTGAAACCCGTGAATTTTCATAATATTATTATAACCGATTATTTTTATTTTTTTCATCATCGCAGAATGGTTTGTATGCGTCTTGTAGTGACGTGTGTTTTAGTTTGTGTGAGCTAGCTAACGAATTAAAATATTTTATAAATTATAAAATCGCAAGGTTTCGTTTTGTAAAAATACACCTGTAGTAATTTACTTATTTATCGATGACTTGGAAAGATTAATCGGTGATGAGTTGACGGTGTCTTTCTGCAATAATTAAAATATATATCAAATCTTTAAATCTATGTTATCTACAGTGTAGTTAACATAGATTTATAGATATCGTTGAGTTTTGATGTTTACTTATTTTCAAAATCAGATGAAACGAAACGGTGCGACTTCATCTATGTTTGTGTTATTAACTTAAGTGTGTTTTCTTATTTTATTTTGTTTGTTTGTAATTGTATGAAATAATATTAGTTTTATTGTTAGTGCTTGTGTTTTTTTTAACCATTTTTTTTTTTATCCTTAATGATATATATCATATATTTTATATTTAATGCAATTGATTTAACAATCAGCACGCAAATTTAAATGAATTCATTGCGTTATCAACAGACAGTTTTGTATTAAAAAAAAAAAGATGAGGTAAAGATTTTTTAATAATAACATGTAGGTACCTAAATAAAAAAGAATATTATTTCACTAGTTACAGATAAATTTAGTTGTATTAGATAAAAATAGCTTCAAGTTACAATCAAAATGTTTAAGTTAAAACTTCAAGGTATAAAAATATTTAGATATAAATATTGGCAAAAACTAAGTAATAACTTTTCACTATTAAAACTATTATTAAAATATTTTTATACTAAAATAACAAAAATTGAATTCAAGTTATAACATTAAAAAAAATTACGATAAATATGAAACATTTTCGGGAAGTTAAGTGATAATCCAGTTCGAGATAGTTTGATAATACAGCCTATAATGTATATAATAGTGAAATACAGCCACACAGTTAATTTTAAAAATAAATTACCGATTATAGCATTATACTAATATTTTATTATGTGGACGACGCTGCCGGTCGTCCAGACACTGTTCGTGTATGCAATGTGTGCATGCGTACCCATATGCTCCTGGTATCTGAGGGAAACAAATTTAATGCTCGCAGTTCGTACACAACAAAATATTACTAGAAGTTCAAAGATTGCAGTTTTAATAACAATTATTTTTTGGAAATATAGAATTAAGAATATAAATTTTCTCCTTTTAAATAGTTTTAGTAGGAGGTGCGATCGTCCCGTCGTCCAACCCACGAGCCGCCACTGAATACAGGTACTACTATGTAGTTTTTATAGCTACATTTTGTACCACACAAGTATATTTTCATTTTTAACAACATAATGTAGTATTATGATATTTACCATTAGTATATTGTCATTATATTTAATTTTTATACACAAACGTAAATATGGTACGGTAAGAACTTTATCTGGACATTTTTTCCGCGGACGTTTTGATTTTGACGTTTTTTTTAAAATATAAATTAATCACAACTCTAATAACTGTATCTTGGTTCTTGCTTTTCAAAGCGTACATGATGTACTGGGCAACAAAAAAGGTTTATTTAAATTGTAAGTGGTGTAGTGAAATTGCCTATTTAAAGTTCCTTGTATTTTAGTATTTTATTCTGGCAATAATATTATTATGATATAGTCAAGAATTACTTTAAAATCAATTTACCACCTAAAAAGTGTTTTTTTTTTAATTGAAGGTGATTAGAACTGATGGTTTCCCGTTTTTGACTGACATTCTTTAAAGAATACGTAACGATCAATTATAGTAAAATAGTATGATATCTGAATACCAGTTTGGATTTTTCGTGAAGTCCTACATACAATAGACTTGTCCTGTATTGTTTATATTTTGATTTAAATCTGTTAAAAATATATATACCAGAAGTAAAAATAAAAAAAATATCTTTCATTCCTTCAAAAATATAAATAAAAATGTTAAGAGTTCATCTCAAGTAGACTTAATGATAAATTTAAAATATTTTTAGATTTTATATCATTTGATAGTTTAAAATCAAAAACGCATCTAAACTGTGATACGCATGTGTTACACAAAAGCAGAAAATCTTCGTTTCCGATCATTTTAAATAACACTAAACAAAAGAGTGATGATTTACTTTTCTTCTTATTAAATGCCATAATATTTTATCACTAGTTTCAATTATAATTTAATTATTATTCGCACAAATATTAAAGTAATATCACCCGATATTTTCTAATTTATACCATTATAATATATTGATATGCAAGAAGATGATAAATATTACTATTTTAAATTTCAATACGCCAATTTTGTGAAATTATAAAAACGATTATAATATTATCATCTAAAAATCACTAATTTTATTAAAATTTATTATCGTTTATTAAATATATAGCATTGAGTACACAATTATTTAATAATCAGTAATTTATGATTAATTGCTATACTCGTACTGATTTATAATGAAAAAAAAAAATTATTTTTATACTTAAATTTTTATTTATTTTTGTTCCTCGACACTGAAATTTACCTGATCCGCCAATATGTACCTAGATACAAGTTATTATGGCAGCAGCCAAATTATAAATTAAGAGTTAAAATAAGTGTTAACAATGGTAAATAGTTATGAAATATAAACATTGGTTATACTTATAGGTGCCTAGAACTCATATCTACACTAATGTGGCTGTATTGTTGTAAGCACAATAAGCGAATTTTATTAATAGAATCATGTTATCTATGTACACAACGATCGTATTGTGTTCACGTAAAAATATAAGCGCGTAACAACAAAAATAAATTGTATAATAATTATATGGGTATGGTAGATAATTAGATTTGACTTTGAAGAAATATAACAATATAATAAATAGTGTACAAAAATATGCAATATAACATAGCGTATTAATAATTAATTAAAAATATTATATCGATATTAATACTAGTAGGATATTATATGATTTTATACACTCGATTCTGAATGGTGCAACGAATGTATCGGTTCCACAACATATACATGTTTTTTATTTTGTATAGAATATAATTTTTGGAAGTAGCAAAAAAAATTTTTCATAATTAACTGTTAAGGTGGTTTCTAATATCAAATTGGATAAAGTCGGTACTCTGGAAGTGTTGTATTTAAAATAATTGGAAAATAATTTTAAAAATGAGTAGAAAATAGGTTACTCTTTCGACACTTCCGTTTACTCACCAACCACGTATATGTTTAATTTGGATTCAATAATAAATCATTGTATACATAAACTAAAAACCTATTAGTTAAATAATAAATAATAATAGACAGTAAAAATGCCAATGTTATTTTAGGTACCAATTAATTTTAATATGTTCGTTATCTCTTATACTGTAAAAAATGCATATATTTTAATGCTTATAAGAAAAGTCGTAGGTACCAATAAATCGCTTATATATTTTAATAGCATCAAAAATAAATCATGAGGAACCACGTATTAAATTTACGAGCTTTGAGAATATTTTTTTAATGTTATACTTATCATAAAGAAAGTCTAATGTCTATTTTGACTTTAAAAATTAAAATGTTTTAAAAAATCAACCATACATGGAATTTACAAATTTAAACATTTCGTGAAAATTTCAAAGTTTTTTCGGTTGTTTATTTTAAAGACAAACGAATAAAAAAATATTTGTCATACAAATTTCCGTTATTCTCCAATTGTTTTTCCCATCATTAAGAAAAGTACTTGACATTTTAAATTTTGATCTCCTAAAAGTCATAACTAGATTTTCTTTCCTACCAGAAAAAAATTAGAAGTTTAAAAAAAAACCAAATAAATAAATAAAATCAAAACATTTTTACTTCTATATATCGTATACAAATAGGCAAAAAAAAATAATAATATTTATATGGTTATTAATTCAATACATTTATCGCATCACTCAGAATATTAAACCATAGATAAACCATATTTTAAGTTAATTCACCGACAAACCAGACCTGCGCGATGGACGAACACTCGTCGTTTCTCCCCCACCCCTTCCCACTACATCACATGATGGCTACGGCCCGTTTACTTATCAGTTATCACCAGTTTCTTTAAAGTGGGGGTGGTCTAATCTTTCGACGAACTGAGTATATTTTAGGTACATAACGACGACTTGCGAAAAAATCGAATTGATTTATTTATAATAAATCAAAAATAAATATTTTGTTCTTCGTAGAAATATTAATGCTAATTTCCTTTTTAAATAATTTTTACATTATTTATATCAACCTACAGCAGTCAGCAAGACGGTAAGCTTTTTCAAAAATGTTAAACATTACAGAAATCATAATAAATTTAATTAAATAATTTATATAATCTATTTAAATAATTACTGTTACAGCTTTCCAAAGTGTACCAAGCTTTGTAAACGAATTAAAGGACGAACGAGCTATTGAAAATGAAACGATTGTGTTTGAATGCCAATTTTCAGGAAATCCTACGCCTGGTATGAATATATAGTCCCGTAATATTATACAATACACATTCTTATAACCTTTTTTTGAATTTAGTGATTATATGGTATCGCGATGACAAAATTGTCAGGAACTCATCTAATATTCAAGTTAAAATCACTGACACTAAAACAACATTGACTATTAAAAAAGTAACAAAGGAAGATGAAGGTGTCTATATTTGCAAAGCTAACAGTAATTTAGGAGAAGCTAAAAATAAAGCAAAACTTTATGTTAAAAGTAATAACGATTAAAAAAAAAAAAAAACATATAAAAATGTTAAAAATGTTTAATTGAGTTAAATTTATAATTATGTTTAGAACTTGGAGATGAAACATTCACGGCTACCGAAGAAGAAGTTGAAGAAAAAGAATTAGAAGAAGTGAAGAAAACGAAAAAGACAAAAAAGAAAACTATAAAGAAGAAATCTAAAAAGGAATTTGAGTAAGTATTGCAAAATGTGTTAAACTATGTTAAATATGAAATATTCACAATTCTTATCATATATTATAGATCATTCAATGAAATAGAAATAAAAGAACCACATAGTATTACAACTACTAAAACGGTAATTATTAAATTATTTTTATTGAATTAATTTTTATTCTGTTAATTTTATTCGATGAGTAATAATTTTTATTTTGTAATAATAAGGTGAGAGATTTATTACAAATAGTATTCTTAGATTTTATTTTCATCAATATCTAAAATTGTTTTTAAATTTAAGATCTACTAGATTAATTATTTAACATTCATTAGTTTGTAGACTGATTTTGTTTATAAAAGTTTAACTTTATATTTCTACATTTCCATAATGCAAAAAAATATTAAATAGGACATAGGTATATAAAGTGAAGTGTCAATTATCCGCATTATAACATTTTTGAGAGAAAAAATGTATTTTTATATTATATTTTTAAATTAATTATAAATATTGTATACTTTTAACAATAAATAAATATTTATTTTATAATATTTTACCAATACGTTATATTCTTCAAATTAATTTTATTTTTAATCATTGTTTAATTATTCATACTCCATGTCTGTTCATGGAGATTTAATTTTGATCTATTTGATATATATTATCAACTAAGGTTGTAAATAAATATTAATTTATTACTAGAAAATTAATAATATTTAACACTGACAGCGTACATATGCGTGCTGTACAATTTTTTTTTTTTTTTATAAATGGTAATATATATTTTTAATGCTTAATTAAAGTTGGTCTATCTATGTTTAAATCATTTCGATTTATTTTCAACAATAGTTTTAAGCTCAAAATTCACTAAATAAGAGCCATTTTAAATTTTTATTATAAAAAAGTTAGTTAAATTCAACTAATTGAATAAGAATTTTTGGATTTTGTACATGGAGGAACTTAATTATCACTGCAAAATATATAATAATAATACTTATGTTGTGTTCGTAGGTAGAGGAGAAACCGTCGTTACCGGAACGCGAACCGTTGTCTACGTCAGAAACAATTTCGGACGAGACGGTCAGGGAAGTTCCCGGACCCGAATTCGCTCGTGCAAAACTATCCGAAGAATCTGCACTGTTCACGGCACTCAAGATCCGGAAGCCCACAGTGGTCAATGAAGTTGACCAAGTGTTAGATCAAGTTGAACTGGCTGAGTTTGGACCGGCTGAATATCCATTACGAGAACTGGCTACAATCGATATACTTACCCGACATGGCATATCCACAGAACAGGTAATAGCTCTGTCTGTAAACAAATAATAGACATAGCAAATTATTAGTCTAATAAATTAGAAATTAAAAAAGTTAAATTAGGTTGAATTAGTTTTTTTTTTATTTAAATAATACGACGAGTTATTTATTTCTGTTGTTTGACAAGTTTTAATTTGATTTTTCTCTATGTTTCTAAATAAATATTTTTAATTTTAAATATAATATTAATTTTAAATAATATTAAAAACTTAAATTTATTCAAATTTTGAAACATTAAGTGTTTACACGGTGTTTGTTTTTCTTCTAGGTGATCCAAGAGTACACTACTGGTCAGTTCCCTGCGTTGAGGACTGCGCCAGCTCAGTCAGCCATGGTGCATCTCATCGAACGTGAAGGATACACATCACTGGTGGCTGACGTCTTCACCAAAGAATCCACCATACCTGAAACAGTCAACGAAGTATTTAAAGCATTTATGACAATGGTCGAGTTAAAACATAGCACATTGGAAGAGATAATTACTTACTTGACACCAGAAGATTTCCAAATCAGCACCTGGGATTTCGAGCACGCATCTCAAATTACTACAGATGACACGATCACCGATACAGCTGAAATTAGTGAACCTGTAAACGTATTAATAAACGGTAAATTTAATATTATTTATTTTTCAAATTAATATTTACGACGTTGAACTTTACTTAATAAGTACCCACAATAAAAATATTATTTTTAATTATGTTTTATAAATTTTAATTAAATAGTTTTTGAAATGCATTAGCTGTTGCATTTATATTATTAGTTATTACTATAATAATTATCAAATTAGTATTATACTATGATATAATTAATTTTAATATTTTGGTAATATTATGCTTTTTTTGTTTTTTTTTTAAGAAGTTAAGAATAAGACACGTTCAACAAAGAGATTAACCAAAACAATCAATGACAGTTTGACAGTTGGTAAGTTTATTATTATTATTATTAATATTTCAATTTTATTAGTTGAAACACGATAATTAAGAATTATACTTTTTATTTCAACTGTTTCATTATAAAAACTATGTTATACACTATAATTTATATGATATACACATGTTATAATGTACACTTATTATACAACGCATATAGCTTCAATATTTCAGCTTCAGTCAACTATTTAAATGATTTTAAATAGCTCTTATCATTAAATAAAAATGCAGCTTATTTTAATGCTATTTAATAACAGTGTTTTGATAAATGATTATTGGCGATTTAAAAATATTGATTATACTAACGGTAAGTCTATTCAGTATTTTTAACTTCAAAAGTAATCCTATTGTGAATCGGTGCTATTAATTACTATATATTTTATACTAATAGATAACAATTAATATTTATTTAACAAAATAATTTGTTTGTAAACTATACATAATAATTTAAACCTTTATTTTAAATTAATACATGCATTTCTTAATTACTGGTGTACTTTGATTTTTGTTATAGTTTGTAAACCTACCAACAGATTAAAACGATAATAATTTTTAAATTTTTTTTTGCTAACAATAAAATAATAGTAAAACTTAGTATAGTATATTTTTCTAATTTTTGTATTGAAAAATGATTTATAAAATATTTTTTATCATTAATTTTAACTACAGAAACATAAAATGCATGCTTTCAATTATTTTTGCAAATCATTAAATCAATTTAAAAAAATTCATAATAAAATTTATTGAAAACTTCTTGAAAAACCACCATATAACTTTGTATTGTAAAATACGGTTTTACCATATAAATCTTAATTTTCCGACTATAATTTATTAATTATATGAATATCATAAGTTAAAATATATATTATTAAATGATATATCAAAAATATTAAATTATTATATAATGTAATAACTAAAATCAAAGGTGCTCAATGTATCATGATGAAATGTTCTCTTTTAGTCTTTGTGTTTGTTGTTTATTACGCTATTTTCTTAAATTGCGCTTCTTCAGCATTTTCTTCAACTATATCTATCGTCTTGGCCACTTTTTTTTATTTTTTTTTTTTATTATTATTGGATTGTTTAGAAATTGGTACTATATCAAATTATTTGCATATGTATTTGACGATTACTTTGGTTTATCCACAGAAAATGAACAAGTACAGAAAAATATTGAAGAGAGCAATATTAAAATTACTGATATTACGGATACTACAATAACAGAATTATCAGAAAATAAACCGATTAAAACGAAGAAAGTTATGAAACGAAAAAAAGAAATTGAAGATATAAGTAAACGCGAAGATAAGGAAGAAGAAGAAATTATCACTAAAGAAACAAAAATAATAAAAATTAATAAAGTAGAACAATCGAGCACAGCAGAAGAAATTATTCCTGAAGAAATTACATATGAATTCAATATAGAAAAATATCCAGCTATATGTCCAACTGTTTTGAAAACATCAACATATTTAAATGAAACAATTGCTCAGCAAGAAGCTGTAGAGCTATCAACAGATATTAATAATGTACCGGAAAAAGCTCAGATTAGAATAATAACTCGAAGTGCTGCGGAAAGCATAATAACAAACGACGAAGAGAAAGAAGAAATCAGAAAAGAAACAATAGAAATAAAAAAACATAAAGCGAACTCTGCTTTTGAATTTAACGAAAGTTTTTCTACGGATCATCCAGACGCCCAATCGCCTCTTGAAGAAATTGTTAAAACATTTGAATTCATACCGTGTTTAGCGATAAAAGATGTTATACCTAAAGAAAGTATAACAATTAGTGAAATTTATCCAAATCAAAGTCTTGGCAAAGAAACCGATTATAAACCTAAAAATGAGGAAGCTAAGGTTACTATAATTTCACATTCACAAAAAGTAGTTACAGAATCAATTGCCTCTACAAAGGAAGGTGAAATAAAACAAGAAATTATGCCACAGAAAAAAAATGCTAGACAAGATTATATTGAACACGAAAGTATTAATGTTGTGGAAGTAAATGAAGCACACACTGAAAGTCAATTACTAGATGATTTTAAACCAACACCAGCGAAATCGTCAGTTGAATATCCACTGAACGAACAATTAGTTGTCAGTGAATCACATTCAGAAATTCAACCTGAAAATTACTATCCAGAAATAATTGTACCTACTGAAGTCGCCGAACAAATAATAGTAGCATCAAATAATGCTATTACTGCATTCCAAATAGAATCTTCAGAAAAAGAAGCAAAATATAATCCTTCGAAACCACTCAATAAATTTAAAGCAGATATTTCGATCATCGCTGAAAAATATATTAAAGTAAGTGAGTCAAACATACATGAAAAAGAAACTAAATTAGAAAAAGAAAATGTACCAGAGAAGTCATTCGCAAATTCTGATATAATTTTACAATCAAGTTTAATTGTAAATTCAGTTAATCAAGAAGAAAACGAAGAAAAATTCAATACTCATTTACCTCAATCACATACTGCAAAACTAACAATAAACAACGCGAATAAAGTGTGTAGTTCTTCAGTAATAGAAATCAATGAAGCAGAATCTGATTTAAAAATTTCGGCAATACCAGAAATGAAACAAATTGAAAGCTCTATATTAGGCTTAGAAGTAACTGAGATTATACCTAACGAGACAGAATCCAATTTTACATCACAATCAGCATTAAAAATATTACCAGATACTAGTATTACTGAGAATAATTCGTGCATAGTCACTGAAACCACAGTTGATGATTATTCAACGGAATTATTAACAAATTTGAATTACAAAACATTTGAGGCCAAACCGAAGTTTGAAGAATTAGAAGCCAAACAAATATATCAAATTAATGTGCAAGAGAATAACATTCCATTAAATGAAACACCTAAACCTATTTCAGCTAAATTGGAAACAAGTTTTTCCCCGATTAAAAGCATAACTGTAGAACAAACAATTGCAGCAGAACAAGAGCAACTTTTGTCATTAAGAGTACCACAAGAGTTACACAATTCCGTAAGTGTGCCATCTCATTCTCTTCAAGCTGTAGTTATTGAAGAAATTACACCGGAGAATTGTGTTACTCAATTAGAAGATACTTATAAAGACAATAATCAACATGCATCAAAAATAGCTCAAATCAATTTTGTAGATGACCAATGTATTATTGTTAAGGAAGTTTCAACTTATGAATCAGAAACTAATTTATCACTTGATAGTAAACCAGGAAATGTAAAGGCTGTTCCAGTATTTACTGGCCATGATGTAGCTGAAACAATAGAAATAATATCAAATGATGCTGTTGAAAAATTAAATATACAAAAATATAAGAATAATAATGCAAAATTAGAACACGTACCATATGAAGCAATAATGTCAGAAGTCGCATCGGTAAATGAGTCAGAAGATATTTTACTGAAAAAAGAAAAGAAACAGCTAAAAAATGTAAACATTACAATTGATGAAGCTTATGGTGTAAATATAACAGAACAGCCTTTTTATGAAAAAGAAAATGAGACAATTGAACAAAAAGTATTTAAAAGTAAAAAAGCTATTACTGAATTTGTTCCAATAGAGATTGCTGATCGCTCGGAAATTGTTACTGGAGATTATACTATGGATTTGATACAACCAGAAGTTTCTGAAATGCACGCGAATCATCAAACTAGTACATTTGAAAGTGTAATTTTGTATGAGACTAATGTATCTGAAAAAGAACAAGAAATGACTAAAGACAAAACTCCATTATTATGCTCTGCAAATAAATCATTAATATTAGATGAAGCAATAGAAATTACAGAAATAATTTCTGACAATAGACCAGAAGACATTTTTATTTCAAAATTACCTCAAGAAAAAACAGCTAAAGCTAATATTATACCACTTAAACCTCTTGTGGGTCAAGATGTAACGACTTGTGAAAATGTAGAGACGGTGAAAAATAAAAGTCCAATAACCGGAGTGGCTCAAATATCTCAAAAACCATATCATAGTTTAGAAACAAGTTTAATAATATTAACAGATTCAGAAAATAAATTGTCCGATTTTGTGATGCCAGATACAAAAAAAGCGGATACTAATTACAGTGAATTAGATATTCCTATTAATGTTGTTGAGATTTTAACACAAGATAAAGAATTAGATTTTACAACTCAAGAAACTCCTTTACATACATTGGACAAACAAGAAATTATCTTAGAAGAATGCCGAGTTACATCACAAACAATGGTATGTAGTTCTACTAGTGACTTTGATGAAATTATACCACAATCAGTTTATGCTTTGTCATCTAAAAGCACTCAAATGGCAATCGAGTCACTTGAAAATGCTCATCTTGAAAAAGAAGGCAATTTAGTAGACGATCATATATTTTCAGAGAGACATGCGGATTTAAGATATGAAGAAATAAAGAGTATTCAAATAACTGAACAAGTTAAACTAGACACCAAACAAGAATTAGTCATTGAAGATAAACCTATGGATAAAAAAAGTAATGTAACAATCATAGGACAAGATGTTGCGGAAACATTCGAGACTAAAGTAGAAAGTCCTATTGAAGAATTAAAAATAGAATTCCCAAAACAAAAATCAGCTAAGACTATTCAACCAAATGAAGTTCATAGTGTTGAAGTATCTGAAATAGTCATACAAGAAACAGAATCTTCATTAGATGATAATAAAAAATGCGATATAAAAAAAGTAAATATTTTAGTTGAAGATAATTCAGGAACTTATATGGTAACTGAAATATTTCCTAAAGAAAAAGAAATCCAACTTTTAGAAAAATCTCAACCTATTTATCGTCATGCTGAACAAGATATTTTAAGCCACGAAGGATTGCAAGTTAACGAAACAAATATTTCAATTTGCGAAAAGGAATTAACTGATTTTGATTACTCAACAAAATTAAGCAATCAAGTTATAGAACCCCTCGAATGTATTGAAATATCTGAAATAAATGTTCAAGAACCTGAATATAATTTACCTGAATTAATTCATCCAAGAATAAAAAATGCAGTTCAAAGTTTAAATGAAAACGTAGGACTTATTATAAATTCTACAGTTATTAATGACAAAGAAAAAGACCTTAAAATCGATAAATTAAATACAAAAATTGCAACTAAAATTTCAAATTTAATTGATTATAAAGTTCCTCAAAAATCCGAGAAAAATACATTGGAGTGTGCTGAACCTTTAAAAGAAATAAGAGAAACTGTCCATCAAGCTTCATCTGAACATATACTATTAGAAGGCATAAGTACAACTGTAGTCAATTTTCAAGATAATGAAATTCCTTTTGAACAATCTACGAAATCAACAGAAAAATCTGCCTCTCTAAAATACGAAATGGAACAAACATTAGGAATAACTGAAGTATGTTTAGGAGAATCAGAAACAAATTTAATTTCTGTATTATTACCAAGAAGCCACACTGCAATAAGTGATATGACGGAAACCCAACAAGTTGCAACTAGTTTTGAAGTTGTTTCTCAAAATTCTACTCAAAATTTACGTGCCCAATCATTTCCGTCTGTCATTTCCGTAATTCCAAAATCTACGGAAACTCATGGTCTTGAAGTGACCGAAACCATGTATCAAGAATCTGAAACTCCATTTAAATCTGTCGAAAACACATCAAAGACTTGCAATTTTACAATTCAAATGGACCAAAATATTGAGATAACAGAAATTGTAACAAATGAATCAGAGAAAACATTAGATATATTTGAAAGAAATAAAGGTTTAGAAGCCAATATAGTATTTGATGAAAATCAGTCTGTTTCAATCGAAGAAATAGAAACTTCTGACGATATTGTTCCATTGTCTAAAAATGTGCTTAATCCATCAAGTGCAACGAAACAGTTAGAACCACTGTTAGGAATCATGGTAACTGAAGTTAGGCCAGAAGAGTTCGAGATTCCACATGAAACAAAAACCAAACCTTTATTAAAGCACGTTTCACAAATATTGCCAGAAAATCAAAGTTTAAATGTGACTTCTGCAATTATAGTTGAAAAAGAAAGTATATTAAATGAATCTAAGAAAGAAATTCAACAAAATGCACAAGTTTCTTCGGTTTACAGTCCAATGAAAGTTGTTCAATCAGAAGAAAATTTTATAGAAACGAGTTTAATCGATTTAAATACTACTACACCTAATGAAATATTTTTAGAATCATCACAAATTCCTTATGATTCAATTAATCAAATGGAAATTAGTCCATTAGAAAAAGAGAGTGAATTGAAAATGACTAAAAACAAGAAAAAAGAAGTTGCAGTGATTAACATAGATACTATTAATTTACTTGATACAACAGAAATTATTACAGGTGAAAAGGAATCTATTTATACGACTTTAACAAAACCTATAACAAAACAAGCTTTAATCGATATAACTGACAGTCAACCAGTTAGTGAAGCTTTTGAAGTAAAAATAGAAGATAGTATAAGTGAGTTACAAGTTCCAAATGTCAAAACATGTACAATAATACCAGCTCAGGAAGTTCTTCGTAGTGTTGTTATTATTGAAAATTTAGGTCATGATAAAGAGGAAATATTTGAAGGAGAATACAAACCATTACTTTCTAATGCTAACATAAACGTAGAAAAAGAAAAAGAGACGAAAACTATAACTGAGGTTATAACTCATGAAATGGAAGGTCAAGTTAAGAATTTAGATATGCCATCTACTAAAAATGCTCAAATAGAAATAACTTCTGGGCAAGAGGTAGCAAAAAAATTAGAAATAATATCAGATACTGCATTAGGTTCTTTAAAAGATTTTGTAACTAAATCATCAACTGCTATTCCGATACGAGATACATTTGATAGTATTCAATCCACAATTACAATAACAGAGGACAAAGAAAATCCATTTGATTCTAATTTAATCTACCAAAAATCTAAGGCTGACATAAATATTGAAGAATCAAAAAGCATAAATATTACTGAAGTAATTGTAGAAGATAAAGAAGGAAAATATATTTCTCCAAAATTACCGGAAACAAAAAAAGCTGGAAAATCTATATTACAAAACGAAGCAGCAGAGTCTTCTATTGTATTAGCAGATGAAAATTTAAGACCACTTGATAAATATAAAACAAACGAAGAATCAGCTAATATTGTACTCGAAACACATTTTAATATATCTCAAACTGAAACCACAGTACAGGAGAGTGAAAAAAATCTAGAACCAGTTAATATATTATCAAATGAAGCTGAGCTTACAATGATACCTAATAATAGTTTAACAATTACAGAGGTGATAACTGATGATAATGGCGAAAAGTTAAATATTGAAAAAGAACAAAAACCACAAAAACTTATTACATCGATATCAAAATTATATGAAGTACCACAAGTATCAGAAACTATTTTATCAAGTACAACTAGTAATGTATTTATTCCTATAATTGATACAAATCACGCATTAGTTTCACAATCAGAACTACATGATACAGCAATATCAACTGAAATAAATACGTTAGAAAAAGAAAAACTGTTTACAAAAACACCTAAATTTGACAATTTTAAAGCAGAAATTAAGTTTAAAGAAGATAAATCATTGAATGTTTGTGAAACCGTATTAGACTATAATGAAATGCCATTAAAAATAAATAAAGTTTTAGAAAAACAAGCATCATTGATTCAGTCAACACTTGACGTTGCTTCAATATCAGAACATACATTGATTGAATCTGAAAAAAACCTTGAATCAACAATAGTACCAAAAGAACAAATTATTAATATATCATTTGAAAATAATATAAATGTTCAGGTGTCTGAAGCAAATATAATAGAAACTGAAAGTGATTTCTTAACACCAACTCAAAATACTGAAACTGCAACTATTTCTGAATTAATACTACAGCCAGTTGCAAATGTTACAGAAATTATAGCTGGTATAAATGTTCAAGATTTACCTCAAATGTGTAAAACAGAATATAACATTGCTAAAGCGAGTCATTCAACATTTAACAGCATAATACAAACAAAGCTTGAAGTATCAGAATCGGAAGGACTTTTAGAAAAACCTAAAAGTATAGAAGAAAAAGCATCAGTAAAAGCTGATACATTAGAAAATGTAGTAATTACAGAACCGGAGATATCTGAAAAAGAGGGAATATTTGTAGATTTAGAGAAAAATGATTTGAGACATGCCCAACTTTCTTTAGAGGAAGAAAAATCTAGTATTATAATTTCGAATGTAGTAAGTGAAGATAAAGAGTCTGCATTTACTGTAGGACCAAAACGTAAAAGTTCAATTGCCAAAATTACATTAGAAAATTTAAGAGCAATCACTAATAGTGAACAAAATGTTTCTGAAAAAGAAGGTACATTAAATATTAAAATACCCAAAGATGAAACTGCAAATGTTACATTTGAAGACTCTCAGTCTGGAATTGTAGTCTCAAACGTAATACCTGAATGCAAAGAAGAAAACTTAAAAACTAATAATACAATATATTCGACTGCGACATTGGTGACAGAAAATTTTGAAAGTTTAATACAAAATGAACAAATAGTAAATGAAAAAGAGCAATTTACGAGATATGAAACAAAACCAAAAACATCAAATGCATCAGTTTCAATTGAAAATGCTAAACTAGGGACAATCATTTCTGAAGTTATATGTAGTGATAGAGAAAGCGATTTCCATAAAACGCAGATAGGAAGTGCATCTAAAGCATTAATATCTACGGAAGAATTAAAACCATTAATAACAACAGAGGCACAATTATTATCAAATGTCGAAGAAATGACATTCCCAAGCATAGTTCTCGATAAATATGCCAAGATAAAATTAAATGAACTAAACCACTTAACAATACAAGAATTAATCCCTAGCGAAACAGAATTAAAAATCAAAGAAACAAATCCAATTCAATTTAATATAACGCCAACAATTTTAGAATTAATACCATTGGAATCACATCAAATACAATCGGAGACAAGACCAATTCCATCAGAAAATCAAAAGATAGTTCAATTTACAGCAAGGAAGGGTGTATCCCAAATAAATAATAGCATCAAAGTCAACGAAGATATAGTACTAGAATCTGCTGATAACCTAAGACAAGAACAAATAGACCAACAAAGAGCAACAATCACTGACATACAATTGAGCACAGGTAAAAAATGTAAAATGTAAAATAAATATAAACTACGGTACATATACTAAAAACCGGCTATTGTGATAAAAAAAAAGAAATGAAAAATATGAAATTCGAAAAAACAAAAAAATATAGGATAGATAAAAGATCAATAAAATAGCACTATAAAAAAACTATAAAAATAAAAAAAAAATAAAAAAATAAAACATGAAAAAAAACACAATAAAAAAACAATAATAATAATAATAATTTCATCTAACACTAACAAAATAGTGAACAAAGAAGATATAATTTAACAGTATTTGATAAAATAATAAGTAAAAACTAAACAAATTAGAAGGAATGAATTAATCATAACATTTAACAATATACAAAGATAACATATCAATAAACACACACATAATAGAAATAAGAAACATGAGTAATAAATGTACATGACACAATCACATAAACACAATTTTTTAAAACATATTACAGATGACATATTGCCAGCACTACATGGAGAACAAATAATAACAACGGAGACACAGACACAAAAACAAATAAAACACACACAACAACACAAGCGTCAATTAGATAAATTACCTCAAAAAGAGGATACAATGCCTATATCCAAAATTCGGTCTGATAAATCTGAAACAACCACTATAATTCCTGATAGGGCAACCTTAATCAATATAAAAACCACCACTGTGATCGAGGGAGGAAAGAAAAAGGTTACCAAAAAGAAAACGATTAAAACTGTGAAAGACGGAGTTGAAAATGTAGAGGTGATTGAATCGAAACCCGAAATTACTGAGCTTGATGATGAGGAAACAAAACCTTTACCCGAAATTGAATCTGTAAAACCCGAAGAAGCTACATTAATCCCAGACGAAGCTACGTCTGTAGACATAAAAACCACCACTGTGATCGAG